TCCTGGAACCAAACCCCAGCAGATACCAAGGGCCGATGTATACAGTCTATACAATATAGTTACGATGATGGATTGGGGCCTGGAGCTCTTAAGGATCCCTTCTAATTTAATAACTCATAGTGAAAGGTCCCGGATTAATGGGATGGGAGGGCAAGAGCAAAGAATTGGCCCTTAGCTAACCTGCCAGTAGGAGATTCTAGAGTTGTAATCAGGATAACAAGAACAACATTTCCAAGCTCTGGAGAAGAGAATTGCTTAAGATGAAAACAAGGTTAGTTTCAGCCATATCTTTGCCTGGAGATAGACTTGTCTGCTCACTGCTAGATATCAGTTCAGCTGCTACTTTTTTGTGAATGGGCCAGGAAGATAGAGGGCTGACTCATCCTTGCTTCTTCTGAGCCTAGGAAAAGAAGCGAAATGAATTTGGTTTCTGTAAAACAGGGATGGGTGTTCCCCATATCCTTAACTACCGTTTCAGTACTGACTCTGCTGCCTAGGGATGATGGATGCTGCAGTCCGGTGACATCCAAAGGGCTTCACTTTGCCCACCCTGGCTGTAAAAGCCAGCAGCCAGTAGAACTGAATCAGGAAGAAGCATGTTAAGCATCATGGGGCTAAACATTGCACCTGAACATTCCTTAGCATTCATTACAGTGCTAAACTGTGAACTTTTACCTATGTCTACACATATACTCATGTGAAGGCTTCCTTTCAAAGCAAACCAAACTCAAGTAAGAACTTGGAACCCCAAAACTTGTTTTGACTTGGAGAACTGGGATGCATATAATGTGGACCCATCTGAAAGTAAATTCCCAAATTGTATTCAAGTCTATGCAGGTAATGTGACCATCATGCCCACTTTCAGGAATGCCACGGTCATTGTTAACTGCTGTCATGTCAGCTTTGACTTGTGGTGACGGTATGAATGAGAGACCTCTAAGTCATGCTATCATCAACAGCCCTGCTCAAGTCTTTGAGATTAAGGGATGTGGCTTCATTGATTGAGTCTATCCATCTGGATTTATATGTAGAGAGATCTTGTAGCACCTTTGAGACTAACTGAAATAAAGAAGTTGGCAGCATGAGCTTTCATAGACTAAAGTCTACTTCCTCGGATGCGTTCTTCATCTGGAATGAGGTTTTCTCTTTTCCTTCTGCCTTCTGCCTTGCCAACCATTATTGTCTTTTCTGGTGAGTCATGTTTTCTCCAAAGTATGATGGTCTCAGTTTAGTCATTTTGGCTTCTGAGGATAATTCAGGCTTGATTTGCCCTAGAATACATTTGTTGGTCTTTTTAGCAATCCACATTATCCATAGAACTTTTCTCCAGCACCACATTTCAAATAGGTTCTTCCTATCAGCTTTCTTCATTGTCCAGCTTTTACAGCCATACATAGAAATGGGAAATATGATGGTATGAACACTTCTAACATTAATATTCAATTATATATCTTTACACTTCTGGATCTTGTTTAGTTCTTTCATAGCTTCCCTCCCAAGTCCTAGCCTTCTTCTTTCTTGATCGTGGGCACCATTATGATTAATAGCTGAGCCAAGGTATGGAAAATCTTAAACTCTTTCAGTGACTTCACAGTCTTTAAAATTATGTAAATCATCTGTGGTTATTATTATTGTTTCCTTAATGTTCAGCTGTAAGCTTGCCTATGTGCTTTCTTCCTTGACTTTCTTCGGTAACAGTTCCAAGTCTTTGCTATTTTCTACTAGTAGTATGGTGTCATCTGCTTATCCTTAGTCCTGCTCTATAGAATAAGAATCTTCCTATTAAGAAGGCATAGTAAAAATAGAAAGAATAGATGGGTTTTAAAAAAAATGGATGGAATTACAATAAAAATGGAAAACTAGCATTAAAAACAACCTTAAGCTGAACTTGTATGTTATTTGGATTTGTTTAGTGTGGTCAGTTAAGCTGTTACTTGATAGCCTCAAAACTGTTAGGCATTTGTTACCCTGCATGACTGAGACATCCCTGCTAGTTAATAGCTTTATACATATTTCCATGAGCTCATTTCATTCAGTGATTTGGCCTCATTACATGAGAGCTTTCTTTCCCTTTCATAGCTGTTGCTTTGGGAGATTAAAAAATGCTCACAGTGTGAGCCATCTCCCAGGCATTATTTTAATGTGTCACTGGCCATATCATAATAGGACAATAAAATGTACAGTAGAAAATAGAGTTTTGCACCATTGGCAATATGGGTTGTTCCTTCAAACAGTTAACAAAAAGGAAAAGAAATAGAAAGTTTGAAAGACCATTGTTACCTTTCCACTTCAGAACCTTATATTGAGACCATCTACTTGACTGCTTTTTCTGCGATCAATGAGGATACACGTGCGAAGATATGCCTGACAGCTTTGCATCCCACTGAGTTTCTGCAGGCATTGTTAGCTGGATCCAACACTTCTTTTGTGCCACAGAGGCAGGGGTCCATTGGCATTTAAAAAGTAATGGTTTTCATCACCAAATTTTGTAATGGTTTTCCACATTGCTTTATATAATTCTTTTTCCATTCTGGTTCAGTCCAAAGTGCTATTACAGTCGGCCCTCCGTTCTCACAGACTTGAAGTCCGTGGTTTTGCATATTCACGAAGGGGTGACCTCTGTTACAATCAATGGGGTGCACCCTCACGGGGGCATGCCCCATTCAAGCCTATGGGGCTTGAATATTTGTGAATCTCTGTTTCCATGGGGGGCGGGTCCAGAACAGATCCTCCATGAAAATGGAGGTCCAATTGTATATCATAGAATCATAGAGTTGGAAGAGACCACAAGGGCTATCCAGTTCAACCCCCTGCCATGCAGGAACGCCCAATCAAAGCACACCCAGCCAGGGCTGCTTTGATTGGGAGTTCCTGCATGGCAGGGGGTTGGACTGGATGGCCCTTGTGGTCTCTTCCAACTCTATGATTCTATGATTCTATCTCAGGGACAGTGCTAATGTACATTCAGCCAATGGCTGGCATTCTGTTTAGTGACATAGGACCTTATCCCACGCTGCTCTCAAAAGTGGCAAGAAAGCGATATTCCAGTACTATAGCGCTAGTATAAATATGGCGCTAGCGCTATAATAGCGCTATGGATAAGCTAGCGCTATTGCAATGCCCGCTGAAACCGACATTCAAAAGAATGCGAATGATGCTGCATTCCGAGCGGTTTCTTGCTGGATTCTGAGCGACGTCGTGTAATCACACAGAAAAATATAGCGCTATAGCGCCTGATTCTTAGCTGATTCTGAGCAACGTCGTGTAATCACGCGGGAATGTATAGTGCTATAGCGCCTGATTCTTAGTGGATTCTTGCTGCTTTTGGCCCCGTGTGATAAGGTCCATAGACATGCATAAGCTATTCTATGCAAGCCAAGTAAATTATTCACCATGGCACAATGGACATCATTTGTTGACAGCAGAAAAATGGAGTTGCATGTTGTGTGCTACAGTTGTGCACTATGCATTATGCATTGCACAAATGCCACCCAGTCATTGAGATGTTCTGCACATTATTGCTATCTTGCATGGAAGTTGCATATTGCTGAAGAGAGCCAGCATGGTGCATTGGTTTGAGCATTGGACCACAACTCTAGAGATCAGGGTTCAATTCCCTGCTTGAGCATAAAAACCCATTGGGTGACCTTGGGTAACTCACACTATCTCAGCCTCAGGGGATGGCAATAGCAAACCCCCTCTGAAGATACTTGTCAAGAAACTGCTGTGATAGGTTTGCCTTAGGGTTGTCATAAGTAACAAATGATTTGGAGGCACACAACAACAACCAAAACATTTCTCCACATGTGGATGTTTACTCTATGCTGAGTTGATGTTGGATTGCAGCCAGTATCTGGATGATGCTATTTTTTGTGGAGATTATCAGACAGGGGGCGGGGGGAGGATGGGAGTGAGGCAGATCACTCCCATCCTTATCCTGTCTTTATCCTGTCCTTATCATGTGATAGCATGAAAGACTTACACACACATTGCACTTATCCCATCATCATCCTGTCTATGAAATGGAATAACAGAATAACTTCCATTAATGAAAAATGATAGGACAAATCCACTTCAGTGTTGGGAAAATGACAGGATAAGTGTGATGTCATATGATAGTCTTTTTCACGATTGCAGACAATTCCACTTCACTGACAGGATAATGACCACATTAGCATGACATTGTATGATAGTCTTTTGTGTTATCGGATGAAAGGTTGGGAAGAGGATGGGAAAAGGACATCCTTTTCCCCATGTGATAATCTCCCATCACTTTCAGTGATGCACTGTGTGATCATATAGAATAAAACATGGTACCAGGCGGATCAGGGAGAAGTGTTTCCTTGGTTCCAGCCCTTGGCTGCTTGTGCAGCAGGAGAAAAACATTAGAATAAATGTTTCCTTCTCCTGATGAAAGATTCAGGCAATCAGACTACCATATGACAGTCCCCCGCCTTGTTGTCTGAATTCACTCACTACCTGCAAATGTAGTTGAATTGGGAGATTACTGTAAGAGACAGTGGTCAATGGAGACATTACATTGTCACACAGAGGGCAGGACTAGAACTAATATGTGTGAGGGCTAGAACTAGTATGTTCAAGTCATGGTTGCAGATTTTGGCTGCATGTTAGGAGAAACCTCTCAATGGTAAGAGCACCTTGACAATTCTGAGCACATTATGACTGGGTGGAATTTCTTACACTCAATAAAACTGAACCTACTGTGAGTTCTGATAACAATTTTAAAATAATCATCCAAGGTGCTGTATCATTGTACTTAGCTTTACATACCATATACTTTGACTTGGTTGGATGGGGGTGCCAGAAGGTAGAGCAGCCAGAGGCTGTCTCTGCTCTTTATTGATTTATAGAAGGAGAATAATCCTCAACACTGTGAGGAAGAGAATCCTTATTGGTAGTTTGTGCACAGGGGCAACCATTTTTGCTAGCCTTTGCTCCTTGTTTAATACACAGGAGTGACTTCAAGTTCAAACTGTACAAATGTTTAGCTGGTATAAAATGTTTATCCATATGCCACAGGATGTAGCTATCCTTTGCTGATTTGTGTAGGCACACAAATCATTTGTGATTTAATTTAAAAGCAAAGGAGCAGGCCAATCTGGTTTCAGTTTATGGAGCTTACCGGCTGCCATCAGCTCAGGTCCCAGCCGGGCTCAGCCACTTTCTGGTTTCTAAAAAGCACCGCTGAGCCCGACTGGGACCCGGATTGATGGCAGCCAGTGATTTAGCATGCAATAACCCCTGCCTCCATCCTGCCTCCTGGCTGCAGCCCAGGAGGCTTGATTTAGTTTAAAACCCCAAGTGATAAGCTCCTATGAAGCAAGGTGCTGATGAATTATCCTGTGACTTTGACCTATTCGAGTCCCAAACTTCCTTGTTATTGTTTCAGTTACTAGATGAATGTGAATAAAAGCTGCCCACTGTGTGTATATATTTTCTGATGCCATTCACTGCCCAGTCTATTCTGGTTCTGTCTTGTCTTTCTAGGTATGCAAAGCCAATTACCGTAAGTGATGATTTCACTGGCAAACATGTGAATATTTTCCATGAATATTTTCCAGTGAAAAAAATCTTCACTACTGTATTTGAATGAAATTCTGTCCTGCATTCCAGAATTGGTGGATGTAGTTCTGGGTGTAAGAATGTATTTTCTAATAATGCATTTTTGGCATAATTCAGATAGAGGTATTTTATTGGAGCACATTATTAACATGGGAGCTTATTGCATTACCTTTTAAATTGAAATTAGCCTCCGGGATGCAGCCAGGACGCAGCATGGAGGCAGGAATTATTGCATTGTAATTTGCCTCCAAATAGCCAGGCAACTGCAGCCTGGGCCCCAGGCACGCTCAGCTGGCCACCTTTAAAACTTCAGAGCTTGCCGACTTTGAAAAAGCACTGTCTGAGTGTGGCTGGGACCTGGGCTGCAGTCGCTTAGCAATTCAGCTGTGAATTACAATGCAATAATTTCCATCTCCATGCCACGTACTGGCTGCATCCCGGGATGCTAATTTCAATTTAAAAAGTAATGCGATAAGCTCGATACTGTCTCCAAGTAAATTCAGTAGGACTTTAAAAGTGCATAATTTTGACTGGATGGGAGTCAGTGTGGTGTAGTGGTTTGAGTGTTGGACTTGGGACTCTGGGAGACCAGGGTTCAAAGAAATCAACTTTTCTATTGTGCTGCATTGTGCCTTTATGATTAACAGTAACTTCTTGGCAGGGCCATCAGTGTACCAAGTTCAAACAGCAAAAAGACACATGGTGGTTTTCTTGGTACCTGTTCTTCAACTGTAACTCTTGATGTTCATCAAATTCCTGAAGCATTGAAAGATGCCTGTATCCAGCCAAGTTTAAGCAAGTTCCAGGTAAGTTTAACCTAGTGCATACAATTATGGCACAAGTCTGGGGGACACAGAATAGAGTAGAGATTATTCTTCATATAGCTGTAATCTTTGAGGAGATCAAACTTTGGATCCTGATCTGCCACCAGTCTCTGCCCTGAGAGACAAGATGGCCCCAGCTGGTACACTCAGGAAACCCATTTGTACTTCCTGATTGGGATGATCCAGCATCAGACATCTTCCTCTAAGATTAGAGCTTCAACAAATATTATCAAAGACCTCAGAAAGGAGATCCACTCCTTTTTCTGGCCCCCAATACACATTCATGATACCTTCCTCATTGCAGCCTAAGAGGAGTATTAACTGAGCCATGCTAGCGATTCTGTTGCCCTCTTGATCTTGTAAAACTTCAGTTCCCATCATCCCTCACCAAGGGCTACGTTGACTGATGGGAACTGCAGCCCAACAATGTCTAAAGAACCACACATTCTCCTCTCTTGTTCTACAGTTATGCCATACTCTCCAACTGTCCCAGTGTGGCAGAGACAGACCCAATTAATTGTTGCCCCCCCCCACAACTTTCCAGCTGTTTTTACAATGTTTCTCCTCCTCCTGATTTCTCCCCTTGTCCTCAGATTACACCAGTTGTTCCAAACTGAATTCAAAGTGCAAAAATAGTTTGTGCTTAATTAATTCTGCAAGGGGGAGATGACAGGAGAGAGATCCCAGTAGGTTCAGACAAAAGCAAACCATTGCACTCTGTCCTAGCTTGTCTGTTCTTCCTCATTAATAACTTTTGCCATCTTGAACACACACCAATGGGGCTTGGCCACATATGTCCTGGTTTTCATCTGGGAAAAATTGAAGGGTATGATATGTTTCTACTGTGGGATGAGTTACTCATGATGGAAAGAGCCTCTTGATAAAAATAAGTGGGGTTCTGATCTCTGCTGTATGTACTCACCTGCCTTGACAGTAGGGCAAGGTTACTGTTTAGGTCCTTGTAAAACTGAGCAATAACAATGACGTTATCATCCTTACGTGTGGAAGTATGTGGGCAAACCTGTCTGAATAGGATCACGGGATGTATCTGTTGAAGTACCATACCCCGTGGGTAAATTAAGTCATTTTATTGGTCTTAACTCCTCCACCATCCATGCATAGTCAGGCTTTTTGGCCTGAACCTTCTTTTTCGTTTAAACCAGTCCATCCTCTTTCCCCATACCTTTCCCCTTGTGTGTCATGACATATTTAGTTTGTAAGCCGGAGGACAGGGACTGTCAAATTAACTCTTTGTAAGAGAGCCAGTGTGGTGTAGTGGTTTGAGCACTGCACTATGACTCTGGAGAGCAGGGCTCAAATCCCAGCTTAGCCACAGAAACCCATTTTGGGTGTCCTTGAGCAAATCACACATTCTCAGCCTGAAGAAACGTGCCAAGAAAACCCCATGATAGGCTTGCCTTAGGGTCTCCAAGTCAGAAATGACTTGAAGGCACTCAACAACAACAAACAAAAAGCCTTTCTGGGAGCCTTTTTGGCTAAAGAGCAGGGTATAAATGTATTTTTAAACTTATTTATTTGTTTTCTATCCTGCATTTCTTTTCATATGGGACTCAAGGAGGTCTACAACAACTACAGCTCAACTCTTAATACAAATAATTCTGTTAGGAACACAAGGTTGCAACACCTTTAAAACATAGTTTTTAATATTGTAAGCTGCCCTGAGTCCTAGTTTTGGGAAATGGGCAGGATAATAATAGTAATAATAATAATTGAATAAAAATAAAAGCACAGCACATTTCATTAAAAAGGTGTTTGCCAGTAGAGAGAGATGAGAGAGGGGACTACTCAAACTTCCCATGGGAAGGAGTTCCATAGTCTGGGAGCATCCATTGAGAAGTCTCTCTTTTGAGTCCACACCAAATGTGCCTCTGATGGTGATGGGACTAAGGGAGAACCTGACCCAGAAGATCTTAAAACCACTGACACCACTTTATCTCCATCCTACAGAATCCTGGGATTTGTAGCTTTGTGAGGCACCAGCACTCTTTGGCAGCAAAGATTAAAGGCCTACAAATCCTAGGATTCCATAGGATGGAGCTACAACCCTTAAAGTGGTGTCCAATGGCATTATTTTTTTACAGTGTAGATGCAATAAGATGAGAGGACTGAACATGATCTATGTAGAAACAACAGGAAGCTGAAAGAAATGGAGGCACAGATTGTCATCTTGGCTCTTCTGCC